TGAGGACTTCGCCCCGGCCGAGACGGCCGATGTCGAGGTAGTGGTAGACTGGCTGGGACATTGTCACTAACGATGGGTTTGATGGTAGAATAGAAGATGGAAATGGATTGAGTTGATCTGATGATGACGGTGGGGGTCGTGCGGGGTTATGTACCTGGCGAGGGCCGGTGGGATGTGGATGGGAATGTGGGATAGGCCAACGCTGATTCATCTGGCTGGCAAATCTCCCAAACAATTGTCAATTGCAGACCCCGGCATACCTATCTATCGGACTGTTCCCAATTGGATCTGCAATTCAAGCATACACCGAATACGAGGAGACAGACCCCGGGGTTGGGAGATTGGTTAGTTCGGTATGATCTGCAGTCGGCATGCAAAGGATATGCTTAGCCTAACTCTCTATTGTTAGCCTATTCATGACCATAGTCTGTCTAGGGCTTACAGGTGCTGAAGGATACGCAGTGAGAGCTGCATGTCCCGCCTTACGACTTGCATACCGACAACTCGATCCAGACCCCGGGTCATTCCCTCACCGGTCAAGTGTAATTGCATAAATTCATATGTAACTCGATATAACAGGGAGCTTGCGAGGCATCGGGCACCGAAATCCCGTCTAAGGCGCGCCGCAGAACTATGGTGGGTTGAGCGCAGTGTAAGCTGCCATTGGAGTAAGAACAGCCAGGAGCAGCCTTAAGTCAGCTGTTAGACTGTAGGGATTGGTATACTGAGTAGTTATAGAAGCTTTGACACAACAATGGACGCTGGAGCTTAAGAGATGGTCCGTATAATACCTCCAGCGGTTCTAGGATTTCCAAAATATATATACCGGTCGGTATACTCAAACCAATCATGGATTCAAATCAACCGTCACGACTGGAATCAAAAATGCATTAAGAAGCCTGAAATGACCAGGGAGATATTTGATTCTAATGAGGTGTATCGCCATTGGTGCCTATTGAATGACCTGGTCGCTCTTCTCTCTTCTAACCTAGGGTTCCAAGCTTATGGCATCCCAATTATTACACATTAACAGGAATTCATGCTGATGCTGACTGAAATCATTTGTAAGGCTGACAGTTTGCACTCTTTGCTCGTTGTGCTTCCAAGGTTTGATTCGCTGCTCGGCCTTTGGTTCTCAAGGTTGATATCAAGCCCCTCATTTGTTTTACTACAGCTTACGGAGACGTGCACCAAAAGTTTCCGCATGCTAAGAATGCCAAGGGCTGGTATTACGTGTTTAAAAATATATAGTAATTATTATAAAAATAGTAATATTTAATACTTTTTTATAATTACTTTTTTATACCCCCTTAATAGCTTTATATCCTGTAATTTAGTAAACTTTATAATACTATTTTTATATTATAATTTAGCTTATTTTAATAAATTTTTAGTATTTTAACCTAATTTTTAACTTAAATTAACTACTAAATTTTTTTTTATAATTTTTTTAATTTTTAACGCTAGTTTCCCTTATATAACATGCTTAAAAGTAGGTTTTATTTTAATAAGGTTTAGGTGCAAGTTTTAACTTTTTAGGTTATTAGCAAGTATATAATAAAAATTTCTAGGCTTTTAAAACTTTTTATATATATTATTTATAATACTATTAAAAAAGGCAAGCACCGGGGCTATTAGCTAAAAAAAATTAAAGTTTTTTAAATATATATTAAATTTATTAAAAATAGCAAGCGCTTTAAAAGGCCTGTTAAAATTAATAAAAATATTTAAAAAGCTATAATAACTTTAGTTATAATAAATTACTTAGGGCGCGAGAAGTTTTTAAAAATCCTTATATTTAAAGCTAGTATTTCTTATTTTTTTATTTTATAAATTTTTTATAAACATGGACTTTTTTTTATTAAGCCCTTTTATAAACCTAGTTTAACTAAAGCTACTTAAATTAAATACTTAAAATTTTATATAGCTTATTAAAACTGGACCCTTAAAAACTAAAAATATATTATTTTTATTAATAAAACCTTAGTTATTTTAGGCCAACGCCATGGCTTAATTTAAGTATAAAAAATAATAAAAAATAAATATAATTAAACTTGTATTTAAAGGTGTTAAAAAGGGTATTTTAACTTTATAATATAAGGTTATTTTACCTATAATAAAAAGGGGCCTTTATATATTTTTAAAGTAAAATTAGCCTAATAAAAGTATTAAGTAACTTATAAAATTAATAAGTTAAATTATAAGCTAGAGCCTATACTAAAAGTAAAGTAAAAAATTATTTACGCCTAAAAAAAGGTAGCCAAAGGCCTTAATAAAAGTAAAATAAGGCTAATAGCAAGCTAAAAAAAAGCGCTAGTAAAGGGATTAATTAATATTAATACTAAATAATTAGTTTTTAAAGCTATTCCTAACTATAGGGTTAAATACTAACACCTTTTTTTTTTTATAAAAAATTTTAAAGCCTTTTCTTATCTTTTTTACTTAAAAATACATAATTAATTAACTAAATACTATTATTTTTAAAAATAAGGCCCCTGCTTATTAATACTAAATTTAAAAGCGTGTATATAATATCGCGGAGGTTTAAAAAATTATAAATTAGCCTAATGTGGCCGCATACGGGCCATATCCTAGGTATACAGGTTCTGCCCTGTATTACTGCCCTGTTATATAACATAAAGATATTTTAGCCGCTTTATAGCTTACTTAAAAATTAAGACTTTTTTTATTTATATATAATATAATTTATTATTATAAATAATAGCATGTTATAATATAACAAGGTTTTAATTTTCTTTTTTTAATAAAATTAGGTAACCACTTTAACTAGTTATTAAGAAATATTTCTAGTAATTAATACTTTTTACTATTATTAAGTAAATTAACTTTAATACTTATTCTTAAACTTTGTTACTTATTCTTAAATTTAATAATTATTTACCCTTGCTAAATACCATAACCCTGTAATATATAAACTCCTAATTTATAGGCACTAAACTATAAATACTTTTTCTTCTTTTCTTGCTATTTTTTTTTTATATATATTATAAATCCTCTCGCATTTCCCTGTTTTTATTTTTTATAACTAACTAAAGGTTAGCTTCTTTTATAAAGTAACTATATTATACTATAATACATGCCTGCTAAAAATAACATGTAATTACATGATTTATTTTATAGCTACCCAGGCGGTAAAATAAAATAATTTAAAAAATAAAACTTAAGACCTTAAGACCACCTATAATATTAAAGCTTAAAAATAAAAATAAGAGTATTATTATATATATAACTAAGTTAATTAAGTTTACTACCTAGCTAAAAAGATTTATTAAAATAAAATATAAATAAGCTAAAAACATGGCAGTGCCTATACACAAGAAAATTAATTTTTTAATAAATTTTATGGCCTTACTAAAATAAGTTATAAAAAATAATACTTAAAAATAACAAGCCCCGCCTTTGCCCTTTTTATTAAACTAGGTAATTAAAAATATTAAAATATTTAATATAACTTTAAAATTTTTTATAAAAAAATCTAAATAAGTCCTGCATAATTCCTGTTTTATTTAATAAATAGTTAACCTACCATTTACTTTACTAACAAAAAACGCCAAAGCTGCTGTTCTAGCCGCTCTAGAAGTAATAGCAGCGCCGGTAATAGTTGAACGGGCAGCAGCGAAGGCCATAGAACCAGCAAGGATATAGGCAACCTTAGCAGGGTAAAAAATAATAGTACTAAAAAGCATATTATAAAAAAGCTAAGGCTGCGGAAGAGTTCCTGGATTAGTACACTTATAATTATAATTAAAATTAGGCTTATGCTAAAGGCAAATTTTTAAGTTATAATTAAAATAGCCAAGCGTACTATACTAAATAGGATTTTAATTTATACTATGTAAATAAAGGGGAATACTTAATTAATGTAGTTAATTATTAGCACTATTTTATAATATTAACTTTATAAAACATGTTATATAAGCACTTGCCCAAGTATAAAGTAAAAGCTAAAGGTACTTTATAAAAAAAAAAATACTTTACTAGTGGTTTGCTTTATAACACCTTTAGTAATTAAAATAAATCCAGGCATGTATTTTTACTTATAAAAATATTTTACTATATATATATATGTTAGTAAATAAATTATAATAGTTTATTTAAATTTAGGATGCATGCTAATAATTATAAATAAAAAGTTTTTAAAAAAATATATACCTAAAATAAAAATTTAAAAGTATGCTTTAGTACCTATTAAAAATATAAAAAATAGTTTTTTAAGTATTAAATTTATTATACTAGTTATTAGGTTCCCTATAGTCTACGGGAGTAAAAAGATTTATACTAAAATTAATATAAAGGCTTATTTAATAAATAGCTTTATAGTAAATATACTTCTAGGTTTAAATATATTAAAAAAATATAAATTCTTGCTAAATTTTAATAAATATAAAGCTAGGATCGCGGCATGTTTTAACACGGTATTATAATTAATAATAATACTAAGGGTAAACAGGATAAAGGCCCCGAAGGTAATTTTTATAAATAAAAAAATTATAATATTACTAAACTTATGCTAGGTAATTAGTGTATATAAGTATACTAATTTACTAAAAAATAAGGATATTATTTTTAAACTAGTTTAGCAAGGCAAGTTATATTTATTTACACAAGCCTTTTAAAATATATATAATAAAATATAGGTAATAAATTAAAACATGTGGTTAGTTACTATCCTTTATTATATATATTTAAGAAATTTATATAAAATAAAGAATCCCGAGGTGTATTACGCGTTTATAGCTAATATTAAAAATAATAAAAAGTAAATAAAAATAGTAAACCTAGCCATGGTTTGCCTATTAAACTAGAAATTATTAGCTTTTAAATTAAAAAGCAAGAACATAACAAGGTTAAAAAATAATATTATTATTTATAAAAAAAAATAGGTAGTGCGCTAGCTTAAAATAATAATAATAACTTACCCCTTAGTATAAATAAACATAAATATAATTAATATACTAAAAAGTTATTAAATAAGAATTTACCTTAAGCCTGGCTAGGAAAATAATATAAAGTATTTTTTTAAGAAAATATCCCCTATTAAAACTAAATAAAAAAAAAGTAAATAAAGTTTTTAATAAGTTACATGTACAAGGTTAATTAGCTTAAGTAAATATATATACTTTATTAAGTTATCTAGTCTTTATAACTAAAAAAGTGATTAATAAAGTAGATTTAAACCTAAATTATAAAATAAAATTAGTTATAAATATACTAGGTTTACATGCGCCTTTAAAAAATAATATTAAATAATAAGTTATAATTAATTTTAGGGAGATAAATAAAAAAATAATTTTAAATATTTATTTAATTTTAATATAAGCTAATATTATTATTACTATAGCAGGCTATAGTTATATTAGCATAGCTAATAAAAAGTTTATATTTTACTAGTGGTTTATATATTTAAATAATTATTATTATACTAGTATAATAAGCCACCAGGGACAGGAAATTTTTAAGGTATATATAATAAA